TCGTCCTGCTGGGTACCCCTCCCCCTAGGTGCAGAAGGAAAGGGATCTAGAGCTTCAAGAGAAGCTGGACGAGCAGCGAAGAGTCCTGGAGGGAGAGCATGAGGCAGCCCTGCAAGGTAAGGATGGTGATGCTGCTCTAGGGGGCATGGGAGGGCCCTCCTTCTGGTGCCATCACAGGGGCACTGCCGTTGACCCCTCCCTCCTACCTCTGGTCCACAGCATTTGGCTACTTCGGAGCTGCAGTCTGTAGGTCCTTAAACTGTCTTTTGGGCCATAGCTTTAAAAGTCTGACATCATACCTTGTTTTATCTTAGTCAAGATGGGTTTTTTCTTTCCATTTTAAAATTAATTCATATTCCTTAAAGGAAATTTGAAAAACTTAGACATATAGGAGAATTTTTAAATATTCATATTCCTTCCCCACTATAATGGCAGAGCTTACAATTTCTAATTAGGGTGATTATTATTTTATTTTCAAATAACTCTTTTCTCTTATATCAACAAACGTGGTCATCATAGAAAATTTAGAATCTATGGATTAAACAAAAAGATCTTAGAACATAGCAGGATCACAGACCCTGGGTTTGAATCCTAGCTCTACCACTTACCAGCTGTATAACCTTGAAGAAGTTAACCTAATTCATAGGGTCTTTACTTTAATTTTAGATAGATAGATAGATAGATAGATAGATAGATAGATAGATAGATAGATAGAAATAATTTAGAGCAGTGCCTGATATTTTGTAAGATATTTAGCAAATAATTATTACCATTATTATTTTATTATCGAGAAAATTAAAATTGTGTGCAATTCTGCCCAGAACCAGTTATTCCTTTGATATAGACCCCTTTCTTTCTCTTTCTTTTTGTTTGTTTGTTTGTCTGTTTGTATGTATAGATGTATATCTAGAATATACATCTATACGCACACACATACTTTGGCGGGGGAGGAGAGAAATCGATTTTTTAAACTTTGAATTGTATTAACAACTAGTCATAAAATTCTACAGCATAAATTTTAGTAACAACACGGCATTCCAATGTGTGCCCTGTTCATTTAACTGAGCTGTTTCAGTTAGGCATTTAGGTCCTTTCAAACTTTTGCCATTGTTTACAATGGCAAGAGTACTTACACAGTGAACCCCATTTTGTAAAATCTTGGCCACATTCATGATTTTATCATTAGAATAATGTCTTAGTAGAATTAGTGCGGCAAAGTGTGTGTGTGTGTGTGTGTGTGTGTGTACACATTTTTTTTTGGTAAAATGATTTATCATCAGTGACATTTAGTACATTCACAGTGCCCTGCAACCATCACCGCTATCCAGTTCCCAAACACTCTCGTCACCCAAAAAGTAACCCAAATAGTCACTCCCCAGATCCCCCATTCCCCAGCCCCTGGCAACTACCATTCTGGACACTCATGTTAATGGAATCACAACCTGTGGCTCTGACTCTGGCTTCTGTCACCCAGCATGTTTCCGGAGCTCGTCCATGTTGCAGCATGCGTTTGCACTCCATTCCTTTTTTATGGCTGAATAATATTCCATTATTATTGGTGTGGATACACCACACTTTGCTATCCATTCAAGAGCTGATGGAAACATGGTCTGCCTCCACCCTTGGGCCACTGTAAATAGTGCCGCCAGTACAAGCACCTGCTTGAACACCTGCTTTTCAATTCTCCTGGGCATACGCCCAGGAGTAGAATTGCTGGGTCATATGGTAATTCTGTGCTTAACTTTTTTGAGAAACTGCCAAACTTTTTTCCGCAGTGGCTGCACCACTTTGCATTCCCACCAGCAGTGCACAGGGGTTCCAGTTGTACCACATCCTTGCCAAAGCTTGTTATTTTCTGCTGTCGTTGCTATTATTGCCATCCTAGTGAGTGAGAAGTGGTATCTCGTTGTGGTTTTGATTTGCATGTCTCTAGTGACTAATTTTGCTCATCTTTTCATATGCTTGTTGGTCATTTGTATATCTTCTTTGGAAAGATATATAAGATATTTCTGGCGCTATTGAAATTGACCTTGAAAATGTTATGCCAGTTTTCCCTTTAATCATCAGAATGTGCATGATCTTTTCCCTAAATTATTTAATCTTTTCGAAACACAGTAATGATTAATTTATACGTAAAATTTTATACTCTGTTCTTTTCATTTCACATTGTATCAAACAGGTTTCCATGGAATTATGCTGCTACTAAAATGTTTATAAAGGTTAGATCTTGATTTTTCTTATTTCCTGTGAATCTAGCCATCTAGATTTTAACTACTACGCACTCAATATCTTTTGCATAAAGATGTGCCCACATTTCACATTATGTCCTTAGATTCTCAGAAATGGAATAACTAGAACAGAGGTCTGACCAATTTTAAGAATCTTGAAACATATTGCAACATTAGCACAAAATGTTTTGATGTGGAATTGAAGCCCTTGCCTTGGGACTTTGAAGAGTTTCGTTTTAATACTAATACACCCTGGGAAACTGGGCCTGACCCTTAACCTCGGTTCAGTTTCTGTCTCTCAAAATCTACCTTGAATTTCAGTTTACTTTCCATATCTCTAAAACCTGCCTTCCCTACCGTCGCATGGCTATTGTGGGAAAACAACTCTGTTCTCCAAGCATTGCTTTAATGTTCTTTTTAGCATTATAAATATATTGATAAGAAATTTTTCCTTTTATAAAACCAGAGGAGAAGGGGCTTCCTGTCTTGAATTCTCCTCATCAGTCAGGATTCTTTCATCGTTACTATTAAGTTGCTTGATATATATTGGGTGCTATATAAGCATGTATGAAATGAATGAATAAAAGCATTGCATGGGGGAAATATATGGGCTTTGTTTTGGGGCAATATACAGGTATACAGGGAGAGGCTAGTGGTAGTTTTTTACATTTGATGACCTTTATTGTCTTTTATTTTCTACTTTTCTTTTTATTTTTTAAAATATCTATAGTAAAATTGACTTTTTTTGGTATACAGTTCCATAAATTCTAATACACATATAGATTCTTGAAATCATCACCATAATCTGATACAAAACAGTTCTATCACCACGAAAATATTCTCAAGCTGTCCTTTTGTACTCATATCCTCCCCTACCCCAACCCCTGGTAACCACTGAGGTGTTCACCATCACCATAGTTTTGTATTTTTGTAGCTGTTATGTAAAGAAAATAATACAATATCATTTTTTATATTGGCTTCTTTCACTCATCATGATGCCTTTGAGATTCATCCAAGTTGTCCCCTGTATCATTAGTTCATTCTTTTTCATTGCCGAGTTCTAATCCGTTGTTCACTCATTCTCTTGTGGTGGGACATTTGGGTGGTTTCCAATTTGAGGCAATTATGAATAAAGTTCTTCTAAACATTCGCCTACAGGTTTTTGTGTGGACATAGGTTTCCATGTCTCTTAGATAAATCCATAGGTGTGGGATTGATGGATCATATAATAAATGTATGTCTAGCTTTATGAGAAATGCCTAAACTGTTTTCCTGAGTGACTGTCATTTTACGTTCCTGTCAGTAACGTGTGAGTTCCACTACTCTTTCTTGCCAACATTTGTCAGTATTTTTAATTTTAGCTGTTCTGATAGGTGTGCAGTGATATTTCCTGATGGGTTAAATTTGCATTTCAATGATGACTAATGATGTTGAACAGCTTTTCTCGTGCTCGTTTGCTATCCGAATATCCTCTGGTCAAATGTCCTTTCAAATATTTTGCCCATTTTAATTAGCTTCTTAGTGTTGAGTTTTGAGAAATCTTTATATTTGTTGGATATGAATCCTTTGTATTTGCAAATCTTTTTCTCCTAATCTGAGCGTTTTCTCACTCTCTTAAGGGTGTCCTTCACAAAGCAATGCTTTTAATTTTGATAAATTCCAATTTATTATTTTTTTAATTGATTATACTTTTGGTATCATCTAAAAACTC